GCCGAACACGAATAGCTCTTTGTTCGCTCGTGTTCGGCTCGTTTTAACTCGAAATAAAAAAATTTATATAACTTTTTATATAACAATATATTACATATATTATTTATATAATAATATATTATATATATTTATGTCTAAATTTAAATCATAACACCCTATGTGGCAATGTGGTTAGTGTCTTCTTTTGTATAGATTTGATCCAGGTTCAAATCTCACACTTTACATCTATTTTTCTCAGTTTTAATTTATCGAGCCAATTTCGAGCCGAACACGAACTAAACACGAACACGAATATTTAAATTGAGTCAAACACAAACACACTGTTCACAAGCCGATTTCGAACACGAGCTATTTCGAACTACTCGAACACGAGCCAAGACTGAGCTCGCTCAAGCTCGGCTCATTTACAACCCTAGTTTATACAGTAAGTGAAGGGATTGTTTGAGATCAATTTTGTTTTTTATTTTTATTGTTAAAAACATATTTGTGTGTGTGTCTATATATAATTTTTAGATATTTTAACCTCTTTTAAAAATAATCATATTTTATCAACAAAGTAATATATTTTTAAACATACTTAAAAATACTTTTTTAGATATTTTAAGCTCTATTAAAAATTATCATATCTTAATCACATATGCCAAACATATTTTATTTTAAATCAGAATACTGACAAAATAAACCAGAAATAAAAGTGATCACAAATGGCTACTAAGGACTTGTTTGGAATCACTTTTATTTTTTATTTTATTTTATTTTTATTTTTACTCTTATATTAAAAATATATTTGTTCAGTGCTTTTTTTATGTTTTTTATTTTTTTTATAAAATAAGTTAATTTGTTTTTAAAAATATTCAAAATATCTAAAAAATATTTTAGGTATTTTTTTAAGAGCAACTAAATATGTAATAACATATCAAATATATTTTATTTCAAATAAAATAAAAAAACATAAAATTAGAGGTGATCCCAAATTGTCACCCAAGTGTTTGAATATAAAGTGGGTCCCAAAAATCAATGATTGCTTATTGAATATGCAAGCATCGACAAGGAAGCACCAATTTGCCTTCAAGAAGAAAAAAAATAGTTAACAATAGAAGATTATTAAATTAATGGGATGATTAGTTTAAATAATATTTTTATGATGTTGTTATAAGGCATATAATTTTTTTTTAACTTATCAATGTGACTCGGGATCTGTTTAGGGCAGCTGCAGCTTATTGAATAATATGTTGATAATCTGATTAAAAATAATCTATTGATAAGCTAGATGTGGTTGCTATTTCAAATTTTTATTTTTTTTGAAAAAGCCAGACCGCAGACAGAAAGTTGCCACCGCACTTAGACAGATGCAGTGTGAAAGTGTTATTTTCAGCGTTTTGAAAAAAGTATAACCTGCGAAAATACAGTTTACCCAAACAGGTCAGATGTGTTTTCAAAACGCCACCGCATCAAATAAGCTGCCCCAAACGGTCCTTCAATTACTTCTCTAATTCAAAATGATTAGTCTTCATATTTGAAATTCCAAGCATTTGTTTGATTGAAACTTATTATAATTGAACTTATGTTCTTGAAACTCAATGAAATGAATTAAAAAAAGAGACAATAAAATGAGTTAAAAAAAGTGTTAGTTAAACCAATAATTTAAAAGGGATAATTACATTCAGACAATCCAAAACATTGTTATTTATCAATTAATCACCTACGTGATTTTTTTGAACTACCGAACCGACATATTTACGCAGTTATTTTGATAAAAATCCCAACCATGAATTCTGACATGTTAGTTAGAATTTGAAAAATGGATGAATGATAGAGGTTAATTTGTAAAGAGCCAGTTTTGGGTGTTAATGAGTCGTAACTTTCGTCAAATTTCTTTTAAAAGTGTTTGTTGAACCTTTGGAGACAGATGAAATATTATGTCCGGAACTCAAGCGTAGAGTTACGTCTGGACTCCAATTTAAATGTAGAGGTGTCAAAAAAATAAAATATTTTCTTAATGTCTAAAAAGTGGAGAAGTTTAACATGCATGTTGAAGATTTTCTTGAGTACAACCATATTGTACACTATAACATCAAGTTGTTTATTTGGATGTTTTTTTTTATATAGTGCAATATGGGTATGCTGAAGAAAAACAATCAATACAACCACATTAGACACCAAAATCGTGTCGGAAAACTCGGCCGTTATTGATCATCAAGTACAACATGATTGTACTGAAAGTTTTTTTTGAGTATAATCATATTACACACTATGGTTTTCACATCGAATTCTTTCTTTAGAAGGATTTTTTGCTTAATACAATATGCTTGTACTAAAGAAAAACCTCAAATACAATAATGTTTTATGCCATGAACTGGTCGGGCTTCTCCGTCTTTTACAATAAAATTATATTTTACAAATTTGATATGCGTCAAAGTCCGGACATAATTTTACCTCTAGAGTCGAAAGTCTCAAGGTAGACGAGGTGCAATTTAAAACAGTAAAAATTTCGAGAACACATTTTGTCCGAACACTGCATGTCCGGACGACTAACCACCAGCAACCACATCGCCCTACGAATTATCGGCGGGGGGGGGGGGTGATTGGCCATCCAGACGTGCGGACTAAGGATCCAAAAGTCAAAACAGCAAAGGGAAGTAAGAATCTCACGAGATTGAGGATGGAGGCATTGATCCAAGGGCAGCTTCCGTTTCTGCACGTCTCCGAAGGAGCCCAATCGAGGGTGGCGCAGATGAAGTGTTCGTCGGTGGTGGCAATGGCGGCGCAGCCGTCGATCACGGCCTCGCCCTTCGTCGTATTTCCGGCTTCCGCAGCAAGAGCGGCGGGCATAATTGTACAGAGGCTGAAGAGAATCGTTAGGAGACGGAGGAGCGCGCCGGCCATCCATCTTTCCGTCGCTTCTCTGTTACGAGATTGACGGAGAGAAGACATAAGGGGGGAGGTAATGGAGATTTGGGTGGTATCAATGTAAAAAATGTAGAGATTGGGTGTTATATATGTAAGTATAGGGCTGTCAAAAAAAGCTCGTTGTTCGCGAACAGTTCGTGTTCGGTTCGTCAATGAGTTCGTGTTCGATTCGTTCGATAAGTAAACAAGACAAACACAAACAAATTTTTTTCGTTCGGTTAGTTAAACGAACCAAACACGAACAGTGATGCGTTCGTTCGTGTTCGAATCGTTATTGTTTGAAATATAAAATAATATAAAATAATTATATATAAAAAATTTATTATATTTTAAAACATTAAATTTTATAAATTATAATATATTCGTGTTCGGTTCGTGTTCGGCTCGTTCGTTAAGAAACGAACACGAGCTTATTTCAAACAAACTAAAATTTAAACGAACCGAACACGAACACAAGCTTTGTTCGTTCGTGTTCGGTTCGTTTACACCCCTATGTAAGTACCTAGCAAAATACTGGCACCCTCGATTGGTCCTGCTGCCGGCCAATGGAGCTCAAATTTTTTCCAATTTCATCATATGAATAAATAAAAAAATAAACTATATATATATATATATATATATAAAAGAAGATTTTAATAGCTCAGTGATGTTCTTTTATTGCCAATTTCAAAGGCCCATTAAACCTAAGCGGACTAAACCTAAAGACATTTGGGCTAAGCCTAATACTAAAGATCCAAGTGGCCATGAGTAAGCCCTTGCCCATCATCCATGAACCGGCCATGAGTAAGCCCATTGCCTACCATCCATGACCCATCTCCCACGGCCCAACTCCCATGGCCCATTCCACCAACCATGACACACACCCAACATATCATTACCCATAATGATACTGCAACCTAAGTAAACATTAATTAAAATAGAATTAAGCATGGGACAAGCATAAAGGACAAACCATGCACTATTCACCATGAGGGGAGACACTTGGCACCCAAGTCAAACCCACACGTGTTCAAACATTGGGGAGCCAAACCCAGGTCAAGGTGGGTCAAACCAAACCAACTCTGGTCCTAGTAACCCCACTAAAAGCTCCCCAATCACTCCAAGCTCTCCTCCACGCCACCCTTACCTCCATTGGTGCTACCATTTTCAAGACGTCAAGAGTGGAGAAAGCCAACAGTCACTATAATTCTTCCGCACATCCTCTGTGAAACCATCAAAGCTCCCCCAAGCAGACCATGGCCTCCTGCATGGCTTCCTATGGCTATAAATAGCCTTAGCCCGAGAGCTCCGAAACACTCCAAACTCCATAGGCAGCCATCTAAGTCATTTGCTCCCAACGCAAAAAACCTTCCCACATACCCAACCAACTTATCTCCACCTTCATTAAACCATCTTAACAACCACCAAACCCTCATTTCACCACTAAAGTTCAGGAGTTTTTATGGCCTCAACACCAACCTCTCCAAAACTCAAAATTAACTCTCCCAAAAGCTTCACAAAGACCTAGTTTCACCTCCCCAATTAAAATTAAGCCTTCCGCAACCTCTACCATAGTCCAACACCAAACTGTGGCCCCATTTGGTTTAGCTTATAGCTAGAGCCAATTCCAATCCAAATTGAAGCAAGGAGGAGCTACACAACCACAAGGCGACACTCTATCAAGCCCAATTTAGGTCGCACCTTTTGGGATAAGATATGGGTTCAAGCTCTTTAAAATGACCCTCAGTTTAGTATTTTATGAAGAAAACCAACAATGCATGTTCACTTAACTATATAGATAGGTTTGTCTCTCTTAGATAAATCTATAGGACAGGTGATTTAGTTAAGTGTAGGCTAATGACTTAGGGTTTGATTGAGACAACTCTCAATTTTTTGTCCCGCGGGGACGATAAACCAATGTCATCTGTTTCCGTGTATAAGAAAAAAATGACAGAGATTGAACTGGATCACAAAAGTACGAGGGAAAAGAGCGTCAAATCGAGACCACCTCAGCAGCTGCATGGAAAGCGCCTCGAATCGGAAAGCGCTTCGAATCGGAGCCTCGACTAGTACGAGGAATGACACGATGCTTACTACCTTAAGCAGGAAATTCCTATTTATCTATTTAATTAAATCTAGAAAATGTGTAAAAAATTTTTAAAAATTCATAAATTAATGAGAAAAAATCAATAAAATAAAATAAAAATACTTCTGAACTTAAGGATCACAGGAGAAAAAAAATAAAATAAATAAAAATAAATAACTTATTATTAATTTTTAATTAGTTAATTATTCAAGAGTATTTTAATTACTAAAAATGAAATATAAGGCATAAAAATATTAAATTTTAATGGATTGTTCCCTCTGCCATTAGGGACATTTCTTAATTTTTCCAAAGTCATAGGATCTCTCTAACACCAAAATGCTTAATTTCTATTGAAAATTACAATTATTTTGAAAAATGATTATGAAAAATGAAATAAAAATAGAAAAATATGAATCAAAATGAAAATTAAAAATAATATTTAGGGCAGTAACACCAAATATTAAAATGACAATTTTAACCTCTAAAAATCTAAAAACAAAGTTATGGTACAGGGGTAAGTGTAACAATTAAAAATTGACATTTTAGCCCAAGTTGTCCCCTAAGTTTAAGTTAAACAAAAAAAATTTAAATTAGGTAACCTAGCCTAATGAAATTATTGAAGGGTTGACATCATAATTATTCTCTTGATTATCAAGTCACCCCTAAAAAACCTAGGCCTAGTCCAAATGGACCTAAGCAGATTAAAATTGGTTAGGTCTAACCCGAATTATACCCAACCCAAGTGTACCTAAATTGGACCCAACCCAATTGGAGTTAACTTAAGTTTAACCCAAATTAGACCTAACCCAATCCAATTCAAACTTAGGATTGACCTAGGTCTAGCCCCACTTGGACCTAGCTCAACTTCAGTAATTATAAACCTAATTTAGGTCCAAATCCAATGTGAACCTAATCTAAGCCAAACTGCTTCAACTAAACCCAACCTTAAGAACTAGCCTAGGTCTAGCCCAGGCTAGACCCTATTTAACCAAGACACTGAACTCAAAGTAACGTAGGTTTGACCCAAATCAGACCTAGTTCAATTTAACTTCAACCCTAGCTTGGTCTAACCTAAATTAGACTTATGCTTACCCAATCCCACTCAAGTCTAGTCCAACCTAGGCCTGACTTAACTAAATTCAAACTTTAAGTCTAAATCTGCCCTAAGCCAGACCTGATTTAAGCCTAGTCCGACACAAAATGCAACGGGTCAGCCCGACCTAACTCGGGTAAACCCAAATCAACTAAACAAATACGGACTAACCCGACCTAACTCGGGTTAACCCAAACTAAATTAAAAACTCAGGGTCAACCCAACCTAACTCAGGTTAACCCAAATCAACTCAAGCAAACCCAAGCTAACTCAACCTAACTTGGATAAACTAATTCAACTCAAACAAATCCAAGCTAACCCGACCTAACTAGGTTAACCGCAAACCAATTGAAACTCCATGGATCAACCCGACCTAAATCAACTTAAACTAGCTCAGGCTAACACAACCTAACTCAGGGTAACCCGGCCTAACTCGGGCTAACCCAAGCCAACTTAAATGGGCCAACCTGACTTTACCCAGGTCAGCCCAAACTAATCTAAAACTTGACCTCGCACTCAACCCCAAATTTAAATTAGGTTTAATCCAGCTTAGACCTAACCCGAACTTAACTAAGATTTAACTCAACTCTAATCCAACTTAGACTTGACTCAACCAAAATTCAACTCAAGTCTAACTCAACTGAGGCTTGACTAGAGTACCCAACCTAACCTGGCTTAGCTTAAATCAACTCAGATCAATCTGAATCAACCCGACCCACCATGAGTTAATTCAATTCAACTTAAATTAAATCCAACCAAATTTGGGATAATCCAAGCCAATCTAGGTCAATCCTACCAAACTCGGGTAAACCTTAATCAGCTCAAATCCAGCATAGGTTTGTCCTACCAAAATTCAAGATAACCCAAACCAGTCCAAAACTGATCTGGGACAACCCAGCCCAACCCGAGTTAACTTAAATCGACCAAAAATTCATTCCAGATAAGCTCTACCCAACACAAATTAATCAAAATCAATTTAAACCAAATTTAAGTCAATCTCACCTAACTCAACTCAAATTTAAGTACCCTCGAGTTAAGGAGTGTTTGGCTTCTTATAAGAAAACAAAAACACACTTAACGCCTTTTAGGGACGACTTGAGCTGAGATGTCAAACGAACATAAAATACATAACATAAAATGCACCCAAAAATAATTAACACATAAACTTCAACCATAAAAATGCAACCTAGCTTGAGAAAGCACATTGGAGGAGGCAACTCATGGCTGTTAACAAAGTACCTTCCAATCACTTGTGACTAATCAATCTACGAACTCTAATGACCCCGGGAGAACGAAACCATGGGATCTTGACCGAGCCATTTCAAACATCAAAATAAAACACAACAATCACAAAATCTAATCAGCTAAAAGTCTTAAGCAACTTAAAATTTTCAATCCCTAAAATCCGAAAAGACATTAAAACTTATATGAAACCCTAATGAACAAAGGTCACTATACTCAACTATAACCATGTTACATGGGTATACAAATGTCTTATGGACGACACAACCCATGATTACTGACAGGAATCTTTCAGTCAGAGTTGGTTTGACCACCACTCCAGACTAAGTAGATCAGGGAAACTGACAGCCCCGGGACAACGAAAAGCCATGAGCATCTTGACTGGGTTGTCCTAACTAAAATAAATAATAACCACTTAAAATTTTTATGATAACTTTGTTTTGCAGGGCTGCTGAAGACAGATGACAACATGTCACCTTCGATTTACTTTACATGTTATCTAGGGTGAGCTAACTCTATTTTGCATGGCTGACATAAATGTTGTAGCAACCTAGATTCTTTCTCTTTGAGTACTCTTTTCTTTTGTAGATTTAGGAGGTGTTGTGGTCAATCGTCTATAGAAATCTGAACTATCCAAATGAATATGAAACACGGAACAAATGATGAACCTTAACTAAAACATCAACGATAGTTCAAATGATGTTAGTTGATGAATTTGACATAGATTGAGACTCCGAAGTTTCACTCAGTAACCTTCTGTTTGAGACACTGAGGTGGTTTGTCTAGCCGTAACGTAAATTCTCACTTTCGGGCCCCTGCATGATTGTATGTCGCGTAGTGGCGAACGCTGACAACAAGAACAATAGGATGGTTTGAGATTTTCTTGGGGTTCCTCTGGACTCTTAAGTATCCCCCACCTTTCCCCTTTGGATAGAAAATTAAAAATTCCTTCCTTGAAGGCAACAAATTCAAACTTTCTGAGGACTTCAGCCTTAATAGAGAGTTTTCTTAAGTTGCTACTATAACTTATAATGTAATTAACTATAGAGGATTGCCCTTATAGGAAGACAAAGACCCCATAACAGATACAAAAATCTGAATCTTTGACTGTAGGCTACTTTTGTAAGGTCCTCTTCGCTGATACACTTCCAATATATTTCAATCTGATCTTTTCTCAGACGTACTCCATGGAAGTCATTTGCATCTTGACATAATCTTGACTGGGTTGTCCTAACTAAAATAAATAAAAACCACTTAAAATATTTATGATAATTCTGTTTTGCAGGGCTGCTGAAGACAGATGACAACATGTCACCTTAGATTTACTTTACATGTTATCTAGGGTGAGCTAACTCTATTTTGCATGACTGACATAAATGTTGTAGCATCCTAGATTCTTTCTCTTTGAGTATTCTTTTCTTTTGTAGATTTAGGAGGTGTTGTGGTCAATCGTCTATAGAAATCTGAACTATCCAAATGAATATGAAACACGGAACAAATGATGAAACTTAGCTAAAACATCAACGATAGTTCAAATGATGTCAGTTGATGAATTTGACATAGATTGAGACTCCGAAGTTTCACTCAGTAAACTTCTGTTTGAGACACTGAGGTGGTTTGTCTAGCCGTAACGTAAATTCTCACTTTCGGGCCCCTGCATGATTGTATGTCGTGTCGGGGAGAACACTGACAACAAGAACAATAGGATGGTTTGAGATTTTCTTGGGGTTCCTCTGGACTCTTAAGTATCCCCCACCTTTCCCCTTTGGATAGAAAATTAAAAATTCCTTCCTTGAAGGCAACAAATTCAAACTTTCTGAGGACTTCAGCCTTAATAGAGAGTTTTCTTAAGTTGCTACTATAACTTATAATGTAATTAACTATAGAGGATTGCCCTTATAGGAAGACAAAGACCCCATAACAGATACAAAAATATGAATCTCTGACTGTAGGCTGCTTTTGTAAAGTCCTCTTCGCTGATACACTTCCAATGTGTTTCAATTTGATCTTTTCTCAGACGTACTCCATGGAAGTCATTTGCATGGAGTTTACTTCACGAAAGTCCTCCACACACCTTTTTGTTTATCTTTGTTATCGTATGTGCTTGCCTTTTGATTCCACTATCCTTCAGATCATACAATCTAAAGGAGAGTTTGCTCGGAGAAGGTATTATATGACAATAGAAAAGCTGGCGACTCCCACAACAAAACATGACCCGGCAGGACTGGGGATAATGAAAGAGGCCGCCAGGGCGGCTCTCAATATGTATATGAAGAAGAAGAAGAGAAAGATTGTTTATGTATTTTATTAGTATTAGAATTGTGGCAAGGGGTTGTGTGGGCTAAAATATAGAAAGAAGGGTGTTGTTGAAAAAATTTGTGAAGTGCGTATTGAGTTGGATGACCAAGTCGCTTACCCAAGTGCCTGGAAATAATGTAGAGGTTGCAAGAGTCTTGAAGGATGCCACAAAATTTTTAGTGTAACTATGAGATGGATTTGACATAACCCCTCAAAACTCTAACTTTGAAGAAAAACTTGTTGCATCTGAAGATCAATAATCTAAAAACCATTGGAATCAAACATAACAATAAATTTGTTGTCTTTAGTAAGCTTATTTATAGAAAGAAGATTATGCATCAATGGCGAAACCTGAAAATGTTGGGGAGATGAAGCTTATGATCGGGGTTTGGAAAATCCCATCAACGATATGCTAAGATGAGACAAAATTACCATTACAAACATATACCTACTAAGAACCTTCCGTCGAATGAGACATTTGGAGTTGTGTGAGATCAGTGGTAAAGTGAGCAGTGGCTCCTGAATCCAAATCCCACGTGGGCTTAGACGTAAAGCGCTCAAATCTTGCTTCACATACTCAAGATTTATCCGATGTTAACACGCTGCAACGCCAAATGACCTATCTTGTTGCATATTTGACAAGTAACGACATTTCTGGCTTGGGATCTTCATCCTTTACCTCGGCAATAAAATATAGAATGGGATCGATATCGACCTCCTCTGGTAGAAGAAGTGAATTTACTTTGAGTTGTGTTGAGAGCCTACTGTGGGTTTGAAGAAAACTCTATTTTGAGAGACTCATTGACAAGTATGATGTCTTCATTGTAAAATAATGAATAAAAGTATTTCAAATCTATCAGTTATAATTGGGCATGGATAGTTGTCCTGAAGGCTCAATAGAGGGAGGGGAGGCTAACGAGGGTTTATAAAAGTGTATATCCTTAATCATTTTCCTCGCCAACAACATAAATATTGTCTATAAGCATTTTGATAGAAGATAAATATTGGTTCATGGGCTGATTTGTCATAGCAAAATTGTGAAGTTCATTTTTCAATTGAAAGAGACAAGATCAATTTGTGGGTTGTAGATGTTTTTCAAAAATATGTCATATGTCTGAATTTGTAAACATATTAAGCATGTAAGGTAAGATAGTTGGGGAAATGGAGTAAAGGACTGCGAAGAAATTTTGATCAATAAGAATCCGGGTAGTATATGGGTTATTCAAGGTGGATGAGTTGGTGGTTTCTTGAGTATATTTGGGATGACATTGAGAGCTGCCATTTGAGAATCCCAAGGACCAATTGGCTGTGAAGAGTTTAAGAAACTAAGCACTCCAAATTGGATAATTCTTTGATATTACCCATAAGGAATTTTAGTGAGGGGGGAATAGGTGTTCTCGAACTTGATTCTTAGGTGTAGAAAATGTGTCTCGGGAATGCTCCATAGATGTAGGAAGCAAAATAATAGAAAAGAACAGAGGATTTACAATAGCAAGTCACGAATGAAGCAGGTGGGAGAAATACATATGAGATATCAGATAACCAATTGTATTTGGGACCAAAGAGAGAGGTAATATAAAAAAAATCATAGAGGTGAGGAGCATGAGGATAGACTATGAGGTTCTTGAAAACAATGATAAGAGGCAGAGTTCCAATAGAGAGAGCTATGTGTTATCATAACAAGATTATTGAGATGAGGCCTTGGGAACATTAAGTTAGAAGAAGAAGAGCCCAAATCACTTTTGGGCTAAGCTCTGATGCCATGAAGAAGTGGAATGAGAGAAACGCTGACAATCTTCTCATTAATTTCTCATAGCCAAACAGTTACATGCCTCTCTTTATATAGATAATAACAAGGACAAAGAGATGCATCTTGAACCCTCGTTACATACATGTTGAACCCACATTAATCCAACAGCTACAAATATGCATAGATACATATATAGTTAATATGATTATTATAAGTCTCACTTCTTTCTCTTAAAACCAACAAAATATTTTACATTTTCCTCCGTAATTAATTTCAAATCATATGTGCAAAAACAATACTATAAATTTGTAACAATAAAATGATTAAACATAACTTGTTTTAGGAAAATACTATTTAAAACGAACAATTAAGAATTAAAACAAATTGAAAATGCACATTACACAACTTTTTTCTTTTTTCCTTATTTTGAGTGTAGGAACCATAATAATATTTCTTGTGAAATTATTAACTTTGCAATTTGATCAGTATTGATATTAAAAATTTAAAACAAAACACTAACAATACTAAAAAATATGCCAAATAAAACTATAATTAGAACAAGAAATTTTTATAAGACACACAGATGCATGACTGTGCACATATTCTCTATTATTTTGTTTAACTTGAGAAGTAGGGTACCATCATCACACATGACAAGGAGAAAATATTAAGTGTAGTTGTCCGCACATACAGACAAACCAATTATAGAGAGGATGCTATCGATCCACTTGAACTCGTTCTCCTATGATTGGTTGTTCTTATATGGAGACATCACACATAATATTTTCATTATTTTCCATGGCAAGGCATTATCCTTTGCTCTAATATAACCTTTTCCAATTTATAGACATATAGGCATTTAACTATAACATAATTGTGAATTGAAACAGAATATAGAACAAAAGAAGCACGCGGTGTAACACAATCATAACTTTGATCTTGCATGCACAACTCATTCTTTGATTGATATAGGAAATGAATCACACAATTATTTCAACCTTACAACTACAATGATGACAGCACTGGACAACTTCTCAGTCCATCTTTAATGAGCATTGAGGTGGAGGATTAACAAAAAGAAAAATCAAATACAAGCTGGCACATGAACGTAGGGCAAGTGAGCAAAAACAATAGAAACCGGAGCAAGTTTAATCGGCCGCAAGCCATCAACTTCTACTGGTTTTAAGGCAGGTATGTTTCCTTTGGAATTCACATTCAAAGCTCTGCCATTTAGCAGCACAGTTTGGCTGTGCAAGTTCTCATCTTTTGCAGTAAGGTGATACTCTTCCCTTGTCTTTTTTCCATGTCCAGCCTCCTTGATATTCACTTGTACATGTGTTGTTTTTTTGAGGTCTAAGTTGAGTAAGACAAGTGCCACACCATTCTGTAAAGAAAAGAGTTTCAGATATAAATATATAAAATATAAAGGGGATGGAAGCTTGAAAGAATAGATTGCTGAACTGTTAGGTAGCTTACAGAGTCTCTTGCGCAGTGTGCGTAAGCTCTTATCTTCTTTGTTCCAATAAAATTTGTGGATAGCACTTTTGTACCCATCAAACGATGCCATAGAAGAGCACTGCAGTGATCAGAATGCTAAATTCATTAAAGCTGTGCAAGTTAATGGTGTTCAGAATAAAAAGTCATTTCCTGAATTTAAAACAACAACAACAAAGCCTTAGGCCCCGTTTGGGGCAGCTTAAAACAGTGTGCGGCGTTCCGCCTTACTGCTTGAATAACACGTTTACACTGCGGGCTGGAAATCGCGAATTTTGTTTTAGGAATGACGCTGCCCGCGGGATCATATCGGCGGTCCGTGTTGCCTTGTCGCGTTTTCTCCTGAATTACTCCGCTACCCTCGCGATCGAACCCTTGCTCTTGCGCCTCTCGGATTCGGATAAGTTGTTTACAGAACGCACTAACCAAACAGCTAAACAACTTATTCAAAACAGGGGTAGAATGGTCAATTTTTCAGGATAAGTTGTTTGTCATAAGCACCAACCAAACAACCAGACAGTTTATCCGGATCAGCTGCTCATCTGCAGATTATCAGGATAAGCTGCTTATCAGCAGAAGCTGGATAAGCTGCACCTGCCCCAAACATACCCTTAATCCCACTATGTGGGGTCGGCTACATGAATCCTTATCCTCCATTGCATCCTATTTAGTGTTATATTATCATTTAGTTCTAGAGAAGTAAGATCATTTTTTTTATACAAAAAGCCCAAGTCGTCTTGGGTCTACATTTGCCTTTCTTAACATAAGTCGAATTTAAAACATCTACTCTCCTGATAGGATCATCAGTGATAGACGTTTAATGTGACCAAACCATCTAAGACGACTTTCTCTAATTTTGTTCGTCACTGGGGCTACACCAACCCTATCACGGATATAATCATTTCCTGAATTTAATAACTCAATAAAACTCTCTACTTGTTTAGTACAAGATTATTAGCTTACCTATAGTAATCCGGATTTGGTTTGAAGTTAATGGTGTTTAGTAGGCCATAGTTCCCACCTATCAAACTCTGTCTGCAAAAGGACTTTGTGTCATAGCTTGCTGACATCCCAAGTTGATCCAAATACCTATTCTCATAAGAAAAATTTCATTTTTAGTCTTCCAATACATTTTTATAAGACAGATAAACTAAAATGCATGTTCATGAGAATAGTAACATACCAAAAGCTTGAAACAAATGCATTGGTGACAAAATTACGGCCACTGTTGTATGCTCCTCCTGCTTCTCCAACCCATGCCTTTGAAGAAGAGCCAGAATTCCTTAAAATGACACGGAGTTTGCTGAAAACTGATGCCACATCATCAAGCCTTGAAGGGTCCAGAATCTTATCAACCAAATGGTCATCAACACCTGTATATTTGTATGGAATAAGCTGAAATGTACAAATGAGCATGGTTGTATCATTCATATAAGTTCTAGTAAAATACCTGGGCCAAGAATATACATGTGGTGAGTTATTACATCAAGTGAGGCTGGAGTTTTTGTCAGCTTAATGAACTGAGTATACCATTCTACTTCAAAATTACCACCAGGAGCAATTATTAATGGCTTCAAAGTATTATCCTTGTAGATTTGATCCACAATTTTTTTTAAAGATTTTGTATCTGCTGCGTATTGATCTACATCAATCCGCGCTCTAATTCCTTTTCCGCTTAGCTCATTCCCTGAAAAGAAAAAAATGAAGGGAAAATGGAATCATTGTCTGGAAGTTATCTATAGGGGTGTAAACAAACCGAGCTTGAGCAAACTAAGACTCGGCTCGTTGAAAAATACCGTGATTCTTGTTCAACTCAATTATATAAATCGAGCCCAAAAAAAATTTGTTTGTGTTCAACTCGTTTGTTTTGCCAGCCGAACACGAGCTGTTCGCAAACAACGAATTGTTTTGACAACCCTAGTCATGCAATTGTAGTATGTTAAAGATAGAGGTGAGATTTAAATATTATTATTTCTATTAAAATATTCATTTAAATAGAATTTAATACATTTTTATTCTATTTTTTTTAATTATTAATTTTAATTGATTATAAATCTTTCAAACCTTGTAGTCAATTAAAGTATTTAAAAATAATACCCATCAATTGTGTGTGTGTGTCTAATTATTTCGAGCCAAAATGAGCCGAACACGAAAAAAAAAAATCTTTGTTCGTGTTCGGCTCATTTACACATCGAGGGCAAAAAATTATTTGTGTTCAACTCGTTTGCTTAGCGAACGAATCAAATATGAGTTACTTAACGAGTCCAACAAGAGTTGTTCGCAAACAACGATCAGGTTTTACAGCCCTAAAAATAATAAATAACTCTAAATTCAATAATATTTGATCCCACTTCAGTTTTTCCTTTGAAGCACCTTACATAATTGCTTTAAATATATTCGCAAAGTACATGAACAAACAAATGACATGCCCTTATAAATTAAAAAAAAATCACTTAGGTTTCTTAAACTTATATCAGGAAAGCTTTGTAGTGATGTTTTATTGAAATAAAATGTATTGATATGAAGCAGCATGCATGAAGTAAATTACAGTCTAAGAGATGAAAGGAACAATTTCTATATATAATACCAAGTTCCCAGCCAAAAATATTGTATCCCTTATTGGCTGAATAACGGATCAGGGATGCAGCATTTGTGTGGTTCCATGGACCTCCGAGCGAACCATCTTGCAAAGGAACCCTTCCATTGAGAGCATTCAGACCGAAGATGGCTAAAGCCCTATAAATGAAAAGTTTTGTATGAGATAGAATAAATTGCTTGGCAATAGCACGAGCTAGTTCAATACAAACCATAAAGCGGCAGAGAAACACCAAGGAAAGGGAGAAAATAGTACGTTCGGTAAAGCAAACATGCACACCATGGAGTGGATCGCATGACACCGTGTGTTCGGCGGCATGGTGCAATCCGTCGTGCGCACATTCGTCATCTAAACGTAATATTTTCTCCGAAAAAAAGGCAAGAAACACACCTTTAATGCTTAACAATAATGAGTTTTTGGACTAAAATTATTTAAATAATGATGATATCATGACATTAGCATTATTTACTAAATATGATATATTAAATTCAATGATATATGTTAAAGAGAGTGTATTTTGTTTAATGTTGAGATGCACAACATCAACATGTTTTTTATTTTTTATTTTATTTTTTATTTTGGGTTCATGAGCTTCAAGCACGGGACCTTCTGATGCAGGAGTAAATATCCAAAAATTAGGCTACCATCTATCCGCAAAACATCAATGCGTCATTAAAATAAAAATAAAATAAAACTTGAATAATAAGGTGTGTTTGGAATCATTTTTTATTTTTGTTTCTTGTTTTTTTTTATTTTTCAATTTAATTTTATTTTGTTTATATTTTGATTTTAAATTAAAACATCTTTGATCAGTGTTATTTTTTCAAACACTCAAATCGTCTTTTATCTATTTTTCGTGTTCTTAAAATTATGTAGTTTCATTTTTAAAAAACAAAAAATAAAAACACATCTAAAATATAAATGAAACAAAGTAAAATCAAAATAGGCCCTAAATAATTTAAATTTTGCATTATACCCTGATTTTTTGAAGAATTTGTTGACTTGGTCCCATCTAGACCTTGACAAACATCCTTCATTATATCCAAACAAAGCGGAATCATTCCTAACAAATGGTAAGCACTTGCGCCCAAAATCACCAGTTTCATATTGCAGTCTATCATCCAAAGAACCTCCAACACGAAGCTTCAGAGGAGAAAATGCTGAGGAGAAAACAAGATGTTGGCATTTGGAGAAATAAGAAAAAAGATGAATTTTATAGGACAAAGCAAGAGTATTCTTACCCTTCACTGCATTAAGAAGAATGTTGTTTGAAAGATCCTGCATCAAAGTTAGAGATGAAGCATTAGAATCTAAAGTCAATTTCTTTAAATTACTCTCAATTCATTCGCACAAATTATTTTCGGTGCTTTGAGGGTTTGTTTGAGATAATTTTTTTTGCTTGTTTTGCATTTTAGATTGTCACTGCAGTTCTGTTTGGGAAACTGTTTTCTTGCTGTTTTCTAATATTTTTGTGGTAAAAAATAATTTTTTTTCAACCTGTTAAGGTGTGGTGGATATTTTGGAAAAAAAGATACATATTTATAATTCTCACCGCCACTTTCTAAGTATATGTTTTCTCCATCAAGTTTTGCAACCAATTTTTTTTAAAAAGTTGCAGCCACCCCCAAACAGATCCTACTAATTTTCAACCAGAATGTAATATATATATTTTTTTAATAATAAAGTTTTATAGCTTTGCTATATTGGATTGATTTCTATAATCTAGAATAACTTTTAATAAACTCTCGAAATTATTCTATAAGAAAGATTTATGGTCCATTTGGGGCAGCTTGTACATTTCATGATAAGTTGCTTATCTTGAAACGCGGCCCGCCGGGGCCGACCCACAGCCTGCGTTTAGTGTAAAATTCCAAACGCAGTTTTGGATAAGCTGGTGAAACGCGCGAACCAAACGGTGCGGCGGCCCGCACTTATAAGTTGCCCCAAACGGAGGATTTAAAGACATATTTTAATAGAATGATTTAAAAAATTCTAAAATAAATAAATAATGACTTATTTAGAAAAATATTCTAAAGTGTCAAAAGCAACCGTCTGATTAAAACAAGTTAATATAATTACAATCTGCACGAACATTATCCCTCCTGATAAACTTTATTGTGAATTAAGAATCATACTAGATTGAGGACGGAAGCATCGCCCCAAGAGCAGGTTCCGTAGTCGCACTTGTCCGACGGCCACCAATCGAGGGTGGCGCAGATAAAGTGTTCATCGGTGCTGGCAATGGCGGGGGCCCCCG